ACTTAATATGAGTAATCTCCTCCTGTTGTTTTATTCTGTGTACCTTGATTTTCTTTATTTAGCAAATGTCATTCTTCTTTTCTATGCACCCATCAATCATCATAGTGATGAGACCGTCATGTATTTTGTAATACAATGTTTTCCAGTATTTTATATCTGTGGTGTGTGTGTAGAAAATATTTCGTTTGATTTAAACACTGAAATAAGTGGGGGGGAGGGAGAGGCCAGGGGCAGTGACAGTCAAGCTCCTTCCATGGTATTTTGCAAGCCGTAAGAGAGACCTGCCATTGGTTTCCTTGTGCCAGCAGACAAAGTATTAAATATTCTCTTGCCACTTTCAGTCTTTGTAGCCTGTCTTTCCAGTAGATTATGGCAAGCCTTGAAGCTTTAGGAAGTAGCAGGTAGAAGAAGTAGAATAATAATTCACTCTGCTTCTCTCTTTACTTTTATTTTGTTTAGGGGGGACTGGCCAGTACAGGTATCCAAACCCTTGACCTTGGTGTTACAAGGCTGTGCTCCAACCAACTGAACTAACTGGCCAGCCTTCTCTCTTTACTTTTAAATGTGTACATTTCATACTGCAGTCCTGAGGTAGATGTCTTTGCTTCTCCCTTCCACCATGCCTTTATCTAGCTCCCCAAAGTCTTGTAAACCCCTTCTCATACTTCTGCTATCTATGCTTCTCCTAGGGAACTCAGAGATGCTGGGAATGTACAAGTGCATATCTTAGAATTAGAAAACAGTTTCTAGTGGTCCATAGACACTTAATCACATGGTATTTTATAGCTCCAACTGGGGGGAGTTCTTTGAATCAGAAGTACAATATTCAGACAGCATGTATTGATTACTGTGGTTTGCCTAATGCTCTACTCATTGCTGTCGATACAAAGATGAATGGTATCAGCATTCAGTGAGCTCAGGATCTAGTTGGGGTGGGGAGGATGGCAGGACGTCAACACTTACATTTGTGATGAGGGAAGGAAACACATGAGCACTCAAGAGGGCCACTAGACTAGGGATGCTTCTGGGACACTGGAGTGGGGGTGCCAGGTGGGGATGTTGGAGAAGGTTTCCCTGGAGAACATGACACCTGAGCCAAGGGCTGAAGAATAGGAAGGTGCTGCCATTTGAATGTGGGGTGATGGGGTATGTAGTGGAGTGTGTTCCAGGTAGCTGTTAGCATGAACAAAGGCTTAAAGGCTTGGTCCCTTTAAGAATAACCAACCCCTAGAATTTGTGCCTTCCCTATAGTTGATCATTAGGGCTTTCCCAAAGAAGGTGCCTGAAAGAAAATTATATATATTGCAGCCACATTTAAGAAGCACTTAGAAGAAATGAGCATGAAATGAAGTTTTATGTTAAGCATAATCTGAAACAAATGCTCACTTGCCTCAGGCAAATGAAATTTTGATATCATATGCAAAAATCATTCTGTCGTGAAAAAGAGAACTTGCTATTTGGGCTTAAGTTCATTGTGATAACATGACACTCATTGCTGTGACAGCAAGGGGATTTATTATAATTTATTCAAAGTTGTTCATTACTGCAGAATTTAGGCCCAGGATTTCATTCAGACATTTAAAGAATTAAAGAAAGATCACCATGAAACAAGTAATAAAAAGTACTAAGGCCCTAAGTCGTTTAAAAAGAAAATTATGAATTACCCAAAGTCTTGCATGAGGCCTGTAAGTGGTGAAGGGGAAAAGAGAGAAACTTAGGGAAGCAGGTGGAGGGATGGGATTTGGGCATTCGCCAGGGTTATGATGAAGTTAACACATAAGGGCGTATTGAAATCAGGAGCCTCAGGACTAATCACAGCATTTTCAATGACACACTTCTGATATCTCTTCATGGAGAAGGAAGAAAGAAGTAGAATGATAAGGGTGAACAAGACTCCAGTAACCCTAGATATTTGCACGTAGATTCAACCCCTCCTAGTTTATTGTACTTATGGAACATTTCATTTGATTCCTACAGTCATCAAATGAGGAGGACAAGGCAATTGAAGGGGAAAAGGCAGCACAAAATTTCAGGGACCAAATCACTATTAAATGGCTAAGACTGAAAACCTGTCTTTGGACTCCTGAGATAGTGTTCCTCGCTGCCACATTATATATGGCATCTCTTTATTAGGATTTATTTTTAAATGCTAAAAACTCAGCAATTGTTCCTCCTTTGTGAGTCACTAACATATGCATCTGCAATACCACACTGTAAGGCTCAGCCCAGCATGATTATAAGAGAGTGCTGAAGTGCGAGTTAGTCATATTTTGGCTTCATAGCTAACCTATTGTTGAATATTGAAATTGTGACATTCTTTAATCTTTCTGCATCTCATGTTCTCTTTTTCCTCGATCTGTGATATGTCTTGTAGATAAATATGAATGGAATCATCTAGCTACATTGTTTTAACAAGTATATATTTGGTTCCAGTATCCTAGGTGAACCATATAATTTGCCCCCAAATATGTGTCATATTTTCACTAGTTTTGTGGGTCTCAGGAATTGTGTTTTGGCCATTTTTCTGCATAATTCTATGTCAGACTTTACATAGGAATTTAAAAGCTTCTAAAGAATTCCCTGTAGATTATAGCAGTGTTAAGTAGAGGTTATATAAATAATATCAGCTCACATTTATTGAGCACTTGCATTTCATTTAAGCTTCACAGTAACTCTGTGAGGTAGGATGTTTGGGGAAGTGTAGGCACATGGCTCTTGCACAGCTAGTGTAGAGCAGGGCCAAGTTTTACACACACATTCTTTGGCTCCAGCCCACACTCTTAACCACTATGCCATACTGTCTATGCAGAAAATGGTCTATAAAAGGTCTCTATTGGTCGGGCACAGTTAAGTCTGTCAGTTGAAATTTATGATTCCTCCTAAAATGGAATTAGCTGTTCATTAAAATCCAAGTGGCTGCTTTCACACCAGATGTACATCTTGCTCAAATAATGAGAACAAAGTAAGAGCTCACTGCAGAAGATGTTCTTCAGAGGTCTACAAACTGTTCACTTTGTTTGAAGTCAGGCCAGAATTCTTTGTGACATGCCTTATTTCTGTTACATTGAATGTAAGCAGACCTGACAACTGTAGAAGCTCGAATATTCATCATTAATTTCTGCTGTTTAATTTAGCTTCTGTGTCATCTGCAAAATTTGAAATCTTAAAAGGAAAATATATTATTAGAAATGAAGGGAAAATAAGATTTTATTTCTACAGCTATAAATTTTCTTATATGGTAAGATCCAGAAACATGTAACTTGTTTTTAAAGGTGTAATGTCTATCTACTTGTACATATTTAACACTAGTTTTAACTGAATTAAGGTGATAGAAGTTGGTTTTTTTTTCAAATTCATCCAAGATTCCCCATAGACTTTTCTTTCTCTTCCCATTCATTCATTTGTGCTTGCATTTATTCGAAAACTATTGAATACCTTTTATGCCATGCACTGGCTTAACTACACTAAAACCTGTAATTACTGGTGTGTTGCTGAGCTGACAGATTATCACAAGGAGTAAAGTCTTCTTAATTAAACTTAGTTATCTGAAATTCATTGCCTCTGACCATATACTTGGTCTGACACTGGTATTGGGAGAGATATAAACTAGGTTGTAGGTGCATGTTTAAATAGGTAAAATACTGAGATGGCTAAAGGTGATGGTTGACATCATATGTTGTGCATTTAGATTTAAAAGGAATCAATAGAAGCCTTTTTCCATTTTTAAGAGATGTAGGATGTGCTAGGTTAGCCTTCAAACTCATGGGAAATATTAATTTAGGCTCCTGGTGTTTGATTTTTAAAGGAGCGTAATCATAATCAGAAGAAAATGATCTGAAGGTTAGATAATCAGAGCTAATGTTTCAACCCTGTTCCACCAACATGCCTCAGAGGCCACTACTATATTGGGGTCAGTGGGCAGGGCTGGAGGGAGAGAGTTAATGATAATCCTTCTTTTATCTTATAATTGAAGAAAGGGTACTGTGGCTAAAAGAAACTTCAAAAAAATGTGGATTTAGGCCAGCTCACACATTTTACTAATGAGCAAACTGAAGCTCAGGCAAACTCCAGGAAAAGCAAATAGCTGTGTAAGAAAGTGAATATAATCATGGTATAGTACACTACCTGGCTCAGCAGTGAAGTTTTACATGGTCATCAGGTCAGGATGATGTAAATTCTGACTACTGAGTTAACTACAAATTGTGACAGGCCTGTACTGGGAGAATTGAAGAACTGAAGATGAAGGGAGCTGTGGATGGGTGGGAGATTGTAAAAGAATTAAGTCTAAATCTGCCACAATAGGAAATCAGTAGATAATGTCTAAAATTGATCAATCAAGAAATAAATAACATGGTAAACATGATATTTAAAAATGTGGAGGTCCCGTGCTGGCCAGCCACCAAAAAATAAATAAATAAAAATGTGGAGGTAAGAAAATGTGCAGATGTATAGAAGAAAATGCTAAAAAAGTTGAAACAGATTCCTGTTGAGAGCAAGTCTAAGGCAGAGGAAGGGAGGCAGGGCACTGCTGTTTCCTGTGTATATATTACTTTTTTTTAACAAATAAAATCTTTAAAATATTTTTTAAAAGAGGACTTATGCATTTGTGTTCCATGTATTTTTCCTATCCTTGGCAAATAGCTGCTCATGTTTTTCAAGGAGACCATTCCCTAGAAAGGAAAAATAAGCAGGATATTAGAAGTGAAATTTCATTTCAAATGATGCAAGGGCTGAGGCTTGAGAGAAAGCCTTAAATTTGTGGCAGGGTGTTTCCCAACTAAATCATTTATGCCTTCAGCTATTCATTTGGCATTCTCCCTAAATTATTTCAGGGGCAGAAGCTGCCTCCAGAAAGAGAGTAAAAGCATGATTTGGCATGGATTTTGAAATAGCCTGCACTTAGGAAACAATTTCTCTGATAGTTCCTGTTTGCCCTATAGTTATACCAATTCTAGCTGAGAATCACTCTAACTACGTTTTTTGATGTTTCTTTAAAACAGGGAAATGCACATAAAATCATGGAGAAATGTACATTACCACTGACCGGAAAGCAATGTGTCAACCGCATTATTACTGAGAAGGTAAAATGACTTTTTCTTTTTATTTCCTCTAATATGTACCATGACCTTTTTTATTTATAAGAATTTTTGGAATTTTTTTGTTACCTTCTGAAAGTGCATTATGTCAGTAGTCGTAGGATTGATTTAGTCTGTGGGTAGAATGAATAGGAAATTTTATCAATTTAATGTTTCTAAATGTAGAATTCTTCACGTGCAACTCTCTGGCAATACACATGTACACACAGAATTGAACTACTGTCCTTGGTAACTTTGACAATGTGATATAATCAGAGAAAAGCTTTATTGATCCTTATGTTTTGACTATTAAGATGTCAAGCTGGATGATCTATACACACAGTTAAAAATATATTTACCACTCATACCTTTCTTCTTTGCTTTCTCAAATCACAAGTACAAATGGTTGGGTTTCATTTTAGGAAATTCAGTCAAAATTGGGTTTTTAATCATTTGCTGCAAATTGCAGTATAGGCTCCACAGTGAGTCAAGAAATGTATTCTGTTTCGTGCATGCTTTTTGCCCTCTTTTATAAAGTGGGACTTCAGAACACACCTGCCGTTTTAGTGCCTCTCTAGATGTTTCTTCTCAGATGAAATCTGTTGGCTAACGGTACTACAGCTGCAGGCTGCTCAAATCAGAGAGAAGCAGCGCTGGCAGTTGTCTGCAGTCACCTTTCTGATCCAGATTCGAACCTACGATGTCAGAATGACATAATTTCCATAAGTTAGCTAGGAAGGTGGTGTTTTCTTGATTCAGTTTCTTGAGGAAACCACAAATCAGAACTGTCTGTATCAGGGTGGTTTTTCTTCCCTCTTGATGCTGTTCCTTTTGCTGACAGCCATAACGTAGTGGCTGGGCATTGATCTGGCTCACTGACTGTCACTGAGTACTGGGAAGAAGCACGCTCAAGCAGGCCTTGGAAGTAGGTCAGGAGGTTTCCGATGCTTTTCCAGAAGCCGTGTTTGGAGGAGGGTTTTATCCCAGTGGTGCCTCCTCAGGACTGTTTATATGGAATTCCGTAAAGGTGACTTATAAAGAGCAAGTGGATGAAAAGGCGGAATATTTCATCTCACCTTTTATTCTCCATCTTTACCATTTCTCACATCTCTCCAAAACTATGGATGGAGCTTGTTGACAGGAATCCATTACTTTGAAAATAAAGACAAAACAGCCCTTAGTTCTATTTTCTTGAGTAAAGTGGTAGTTCTTCAAAGGATAATTCCCATAGCTTTCTTCTCTCAGTCTTCCCTTTCTTCCAAGTCCGCCCTGTCCCCCTTCTCTACTCCATGTGTGCCCTGCCCTTGTTCTTACCAGTTCAGTGTTTCCACCCTCAATATCTCTCACGTGACTCTCTGCCTCCTCAAACTCTAACCATCCTTTAAGCCTAACGCAGCTTCCATCCTCCTCATGAGGTTTCATGCCACTTTCTCACACAACGGGGTCATCCCCACCATTCATTTTGGCACTTACCGTTTCATACTTACATTTTCTTACGACGTATTGTTAGGTAAGTCTATGCCATTTTCAGAAATTTTTTTACCTTTCTGTCCATCCACACTGTTGTTTTATTCATTCATTCATTTAATATGCATTGTTTGAGTAGTGCTTGGAAGTCTGTTTTGTGAACCAGACTATTCCCAACGGAAAGGAGGAGAGCACAGTCTGTGTCCTAAAGGAGCACATTCAGGAGGGGTTAGACATCACACATCCAGGATTATCATCAGGCAGAGGAATAAACACGGTGAAGTCCATGAGAGTGATACATGCCAGTTGCTGTGTTAGGAGCATAGAGGAAAGCTACCTAATGGCCTGGGCAGGAAAGCTTCTAAGTGGTATCCAGTGCAAGCTTTTAATGGTATTTTGCAAGGAACTTCACAGTATGTACCTTTTCTCTTCCAGTCTCAGTTTCTTTCTTTCTGCCTTAAACATTCTCACCACATCAGCCAGACTAAAATGCTGTAAATTGTGTCGCATTCTCCCCTGGATAATGTTCTCCTGGGATTTTGCACATCCTGTATCTCTCCCTGGAATATTCTTCCCATCCCATCCATCTGGCTAATTCCTGTTCAACTTTTATGACTCAGCTATATATTTCTTTCTTTCTCTGGCAAGTCTTTCCTGTCCTTCCCCAAATCTTCTGGGTACTTCCTTGAATCCTTGTACTTACTCTAACCTGGTACTGACCACTGTGCTGAAATAATCTCTCAGTTCTGCCTGTCTCAACTCACAGCTATTTATCCAATACTTAGCATGGTGCCTGACCATACTCAGTAAATACCCATTAAATAAATGTGTTGTACTTTTCTTGCTAAGAAAACCAATAGATTGAATGGTGAGTCTTGAAAGATAAGCAGGAGTTTTATAAATTAGAAGAAAACCAAAGAGGACCTTCGAGGTGAAAGGCAGAGTCACAGAGGTGTCAAGAAAACACAGGCTGTTCAAGGACCTACAAATGTGACATTCTAGAGCGAGGGCATGGCCAGGTTCTGAAGGCTAAGGTAGAAAAGACAGTGAGGGGCCAGATCACAGGGGGATGTGGGTACCTTGCTAAGGAACATGGGTCTTATCAGGAAGGCAGTGGGGAACCCTTCAATGATTTTTAGTAGCTGGGGACACAATTGATTAGATATGCGTTAGAGAAAACACTGTAGCTTCTATGTAGAGTAGGAGAAGAGATGAATAGTCCAGTTAGAAGAATCTATCAGTGATCTAGGCAAGAAATGTCAAGATCCTAAACCATAGGGCAGAAAGAGAGATTTGAAAGAGATTTAGGAGATGGACACACCCTAATCTGATGATGAATGGGACAGGGTTGGTAAGACAGAGGTGATTCCTAAGTTTTCTGGCTAGAGAGGATGGCCAGCTGTCCTGTAGTATCCTTAATGAAGCCCAGGACTGTAGGAGGAGAAGGGGTAAGAGCATTGGGTTGCAGGAAAAGAATTGTTTAATTTGGACATTCTCAGTTTGATATTCCTGAGAATGATCCAGTCAGAGATTTCAATAGACAATTGGAGATTTGTACCCAGAGCTCACAAGAGAAGTCAGTTTTGGAATAAATCTGTGGGAGTCATTAGCATATGGGGTTAATTAGAGCCTTAACTATAGGTGACATTATATAACAAGAATGAATAAAGACAAGGGTTCAGTTCTCCTTTCTGGCCGGCTGCCAAAAAAATAGTGAATAAAGAGAAGGCAGTGAAGCCTGGAACCCTGGGTACCTCAAGGTAAGGAATGCTGCATGTTTACTCCTGTGCTCTACACACAGTAGGTGCTCAATAGTACTTGTTGAATGGGTGAGTGAGAGTGCAGTACCATTAAGGGCAGTGAATGTGTCCAGCCCTGCCACTAGCAGGTAAGGGACTAGAATTCCACTATCAGCTCCAAGGAAAATTCTGTCGGGTTGCCCTTTGAAAGAGACTTTGGAGAATGCTATGACCCAGATTTCCTAGTTTTGTGCTGCTGGAATGAGATTATGAAAGATGCCTTCTTCACCAGCACCTGGACTATGATTAACTGTTTTATCCATAATGTAACCTTTTATGGTGGTGATAATCAACTATTTATGTATAAGACAAAGTAGTTTCAATATTATTCTTGATAGTTGGACAATTTATTGTAGCTTTAAGGTTTTTTCTCTATCTTTATCAAGTTTTTGTTTTTACCATATATCACTAAATGAATTCTTCCTAAATATTTCAAAAGTAAGTTTTCCTCCTTTTTTAATAATAAATGCTTGGCTTTCCAATATATGCATTTGAGAGCTAATTAGGGTTTGATAAAGGTGTTAATAAACTTTTTTTTAAAAGCAATAAGTCAATTTGCCACAGATTTTATCTCCCTGATTACTGAAGCCTTACGTTCAAGATACCAGTTATCTTCTCCCTAATTCATTTCTGTGCCTATTCTTCATAGCATAATCCAGAGACTGTTTTTCTCTTGTTTGTTCAATTTTTATAAATTTATAGTTTTCATCATGCAGAGAAAAGTAAATCTGTATGAATAGTGCTCCAGACACATTTTCTGCAAAGGAAAACCGTCCATTTTTAAAAAAATTTTAATTGTTTTGGAATGAAGCAAGCTAGTGGAGTATACTGACATTTCTAAATTACCATTTTTTTTTCTTTTGGAACACATATTTCTGCTGGAAAAAAAGGTTTTTTTAGGACCACAAAAAATGTACAAACAAAAGGAAAGTTTGTTAAAATATTTCCTCTTAAATTTAAACCATCTTTTTCAGTAAAATCAACCAGGATTATTTGTAAATTCATCAAACAAACAATTCAAGTATCACTGGTCCCAGTGATGTTTTGTTCCTGGGGAAAAATATCAATCAGCTGGAGATAGTAATCATTTGGGGGCTTTGATTTGGATTCACACGCAAGTGACAAGTTAAGCTAACTAAGGAGTAAGAACATGCCTGTGTGGTGCCCCTGCTCTGTTCCAGGCATGGGGCTCAGTGGCATGGAGCTCAGTGTATGTTTTCTTATACTTGTCTCATGTCACAGTCTTGGGAAGTAGGTTTTTACAATATCCATATACAGGTGCAATGACAGGTTCACCAGAGGTTGCACAGCTGTTGTGCAGCAGAGCTGGATTCTCGTCCAGCTCCAAAGCCCAGGGTTCTTTCCTCTACTTGTCATTGTGTCTTGATATTAGCCTCCTAGGCAAAGGTGTGTTTCAAAATGACATTTCAGAGTTTGACTTCCTAGGTAGCTGAAAATAAAGATTCTAAGCTTGCAAATTATAGTTGTATGTAAGTTAAATCCAGAGGATAGGAAAGATCTGGGAAGCAGATCTTTACATCTGTGAAAGAGGAAAGTAACCATGAAGGCTGAAAGTGAGAACAGTGCCCCGTGTGCTGCAGGATAACTGTGGAACTAGGGAGTTCAGTTCACAGGGAAACAGTTTTGTTTCTTATGGTTAGAGCTTCCCATCAATAGACGATCTGCCTTGAGACAAGTGAGCCTTCTGCCACTGCAAGTGTCTAAGCAGAACCCCAGTGACCATCTGAGAAGAATGTTTTGAAGAATTCTTGGGTGGGAAATTGTATTAAATGACTTCGTAGGTCCCTTCCACTCGAGTTGTCATATTTCTAACTATGAAGGCATGAGTTTTAAATCAGATACGACAGGTCCAATCTACCTGCTGAGGCCAAGCTATACCAACTGGCACTACCGTCACCTGGCGTTATGGGCCAGAGTGTTATAATGGAATGCTTAAGGTCAGGTTGGCCTTCTCATGCTTGCCCTAAACATAAGCATCCTTGTTTGATTTGCACACCAGAGGGAGATTCTCATGTTCTCCTCTCAGGACCTGTATGTTTTCATGGGACTTAAAGGAAAAGTTTCATTAGTTACCTGGGGGTCCCTCAGAGCCAGGATAGCTATCCTTTTATAATTACTCTTAGGCAATTCAGAGTGCCTTCTTTTGAATCCTGTAACCCTATCTATACCCAGCAGCATTTATCAACTTTTTTCCACCATCCCTGTGCTTTCACCTTTTAAATATTCCCTTCCTCTCTCCCTCCCTTTCTTCATTCTTTTCTTTTTCTAAATCATTATTAATCACCTAATTGACATGTGACCCAAAGTGTTAGACTTAACACAGGGAAGGTAATTTTCAAAAACTGCTTACAGTAGTAACAAATGCCATCAGTTATCAGCACTCATTTATTTTCTGGCATCAACAGTACTCCATAGACTTAACACAGGGAAGGTAATTTTCAAAAACTGCTTACAGTAGTAACAAATGCCATCAGCTATCAGCACTCATTTATTTTCTGGCATCAACAGTACTCCGCAACTAATTGCTGATTAGGGAGTTGGCATTTATTCTCACCAAAATATAATAGTCACAAGCTGACATTTTTTCATTGCTGATTTTCAGAGTCTTTTGTCCTGGGTCTTGTTTCTCCTTTAAGAACTTGAGAGGTTATTTCTGCTTTGTGCTATGAAATAATTATTGTGATAGAAACTGTCATTTTCTTGATTCTGACAGGCTGTGTTTGACGTGGACAAGAAGAAAGGGCTGACTCTGATAGAGCTCTGGGAGGGCCTGACTGTGGATGACATACGAAAGAGCACTGGATGCGACTTTGCAGTAAGTGTTTCTCTGAACAAATCCAGCCACTTGTCCTGTGTCATGGGCTTGATTAATGGGTGTTTACAGGATGTGAACCATTAATTTGTGATCATTTTTGGAGTTGACCTTTGCAGTGAACAGGAGTGGAAGGAAGGGTGCCTCCAGATGAGAGCAGGTGGAAGCAGGAGCGGGCTCTGACTCACAGGCCAGGGTTTGGCTCAGGAGTCAGAAGCCGGAGAGGGAGGAACCCCCAGGAGCTGCTGGAAACAGAAGGTTGAGCTTGAGCTCTGAGCTACCTAATGTGAAGTCTCTTGCAATCCTGTTTGTGAACCATTAATTTGTGATCATTTTTGGAGTTGACCTTTGCAGTGAACAGGAGTGGAAGGAGGGTGCCTCCAGATGAGAGCAGGTGGAAGCAGGAGCGGGCTCTGACTCACAGGCCAGGGTTTGGCTCAGGAGTCAGACGCCGGAGAGGGAGGAACCCCCAGGAGCTGCTGGAAACAGAAGGTTGAGCTTGAGCTCTGAGCTACCTAATGTGAAGTCTCTTGCAATCCTGTTATTGGTTATATATCAGTTGTGGTTAAACTCAACTCAAACGTGTGAGCCACACATGAAGAAATGATACTTCCTTATCTTTCTTGTCTTTTGTGTGTGTGTGTGGCTGGCTAGTATGGGGAGCTGAACTCTTGACTGTGACCTTGGTGTTATGACACTGTTCTCTAACCAATTGAGCTAACTGGCCAGCCCTCGATACTTCCTTATTTTTAGGCCCATCTATGACTATGACTTTCTGTTTCTTAAATTAGTTAATTAATTTTTTTTGGCAGCTGGCTGGAACAGGGATCTGAACCCTTGACTTTGGTGTCTAACCACCTGAGCTAACCTGAGCTAACTGCCCAGTCCTTTTTTTTTTTTTTGCTGCTGGCCAGTATAGGGATCGAACCTCAGACTTTGGTGTTATTGGCCCCATGCTCTAACAAAATAAGCTAACCGGCCAGCCCATGACTTTCTTCTTGATTAACTTCTATGCCTCATTATTCCATCCACTGATGATATTAGAATGTTGGTCTTCTGACATCCCCAGATTTATAATCACAAAACAGGTATATACTGCATTTGAAGATAAACTTAGTGCACAGAACACTCAGACTTACAAAGCAGATAATTACAACAGGGAAACCCCCAAATCCCTTTCTAAAACTCAGTAATACTGAAATATAACTAATTGCCCTCTGTTATAAGTGCTTTTTCATAAATCACCAATCACCTACCTAATGAGGCTTGACAGGTTGGCTCAGTCCATTTAAAATTAATCAACAGTAAAGGTGAAATGTCTCTGAAAAAATGAAGGAAGGGGATTTGATTCTCAGATACCTTTTTAAGAACCAATCCACTAATTAAAAGGAAATATGCTTATAACAAAAAGAGAATATGTTAATGTTGCAGCTACCTATCTTGGAGAAACTAATTTAACAAAAGTTACTTGATAAATCATGCATGCATTTCATATATGTCTTGCTTATGTACTACGTTCTTGGCTTGTACCTGTCAGTGCATAACAAATTTCTTTAAAGATGGTTTTGTTTCATAATTTATTATCTACATAGTAACTGTTCCTGGTACTCTACCAAGGTCTTTGCCTATTAACTTTTTCTGTATTTCTCTTTGGAAAAAAGCAGACTCCCAGAAATACCTTGCATGAAAATCACATCTTTAATTAGTTTTTCAATAACCTCAGGGGGAAAAAG